TTTGCTGATGACACCACTGTGGTAGGGCTCATCTCTGGGAATGATGAGTCTGCTTATCGGGATGAGGTGGAACGGCTTTGTGTTTGGTGCAGGGAAAATAATTTGATCCTCAACACCACCAAGACCAAGGAATTGGTAGTGGACTATAGGAGGAACAAAACGGACATCCAGCCACTGTTTATTGGTGGAGAACGTGTGGAGAGGGTGGCTACTTTTAAGTTTTTGGGAGTGATTATTGAGCAAAACTTGACCTGGAGCGCTAACACCACTGCTCTGGTGAAGAAGGCCCAGCAGAGGCTCTTTTTTCTCAGACTTTTAAAGAAAAATAACTTGAGTGAGAAAATACTGATGTCTTTCTATCGTTGCTCAATAGAGAGCATTTTAACATACTGCGTCTGTGCCTGGTTTGCCAGCTGTACGGCTGTGGAGAGGAAAGCACTCCAGAGAGTTATCATCACAGCCCAGAAGATTATTGGCTGCCCTCTCCCGCTCCTGGAGGAATTGTATAGTTCTCGATGCTTGAAAAAAGCAAAGAACATTTTGCAGGATTTGTCACACCCTGAACATTCCTTGTTTGAACTGCTGCCTTCGGGTAGAAGGTATAGGACAATTAAAACAAGGACAAACAGATTAAAAAACAGTTTTTATTCGAGAGCTATTATTGCTTTAAATGCTGCATGAAGTTGGAATTTGGGTGGAATTGGTGGTTTAGTTGCAATGTGAACCTTAGGGCTACAATCTGCCACTGGCCAGTGAGGGAAGGCCCACCCCTGAACAGCTCCTACCATGTCAATGTCATCAGTGTAATGACGTCACCAGAAAGTGACACATCACACCCTAGCATTTGGCCTGAAACTCTAACACCCTCTGTTAATATACCGTTCAACAAAGTTTTCACATCAGGTATAAAAATTAACTGGGAAACCCATTCATCAGTGTCTCCCTTAGTGAACACTGGGAGAAAGCCAGGAGCAAATCTCCTACTCAAGCCTGCTTCTAAAAAATGTCATTATATTGCATAGATCAAAAAGAGGTGGGGTTCATGCAAATCCCATTTGAAGTCCCTGGGGGCAAGATGAGCTCAAAAGGAACCTGAACTTTTAGGAAGCTCACTTCTATTCCTAGGTTAGAGCTTCATTCTTCCTGCCGAGCAAAGCACCCTTTCCCCCCAATTTTATCATGAAATTAATTATATATATTTTATTTTTCTTGGTGACTACTCTGAGAGGTAAGTATTTGCTCTGTGAGAATTTTAGAACCACTGGATTACCAAATATATGATGGTCTGAACTCATTGCAGTGTTCTCTTTTCCAAGGGGCCTTTTCAGTCATTGAGCTCACATCGTCTGGACCAGAAACACTGAGACCCGGAGATAATCTCAATCTGGTCTGTAAAGTGAAAGGATTCTCCATCACTGACAGCAGTTATGCTTGGGACTGGATCCGTCAGCCTCCTGGGAAAGTTTGGGAATGGGTCGGAAGGATATACCCCTATGATGGGAGAAAGTGGTACAACCCTTCTGTCCAAAGTCGTGTCACTATTTCTGCAGATGGCTCCAGAAACCAGTTCTCCCTTCAGCTGAAATTGGTGACACTTGCTGACTCTGCTGTGTATTATTGTGCCCGAGACAGACGCACAGTAAGACAAAGTCTCTTGGATGTGCATCAAAAAAGAGCTACAGACTTCCAGATTTACTTTGCATTTACAAGCCTAAAGTGTAGTGAGGGAGAACAAAAACACTTTAAATACAGCAAGTAATCCTTTGCGAAAACGATCCCATGTTAAAAAAACCCGATATCATACACACAAAAATCTTAAGCATTCTGTTGCCACAGTTGAACAAAGTTAGAGTCCAGCACCTTTAAGACTAACAAAGTTTTATTCAGGATGTGAAGTTTTGAGTGCACGCACGCTGCGTCAGACATTGAAACGGAATTACAGATCATAGTGGTATATATATAGGTGGCTTCTAAATTAGCATGCAAAATAGTGAAAATGGTTTTTTAACAGATCAAAAGAATGACAAGCTGGGCTTCTGGTTATCAATTGTTTTGATTCATCTAGGGGGAAGAACCAACATAGGTAATAAATATGTTAGAACTGGAAATTGATGTCCCCTAATTTGTGAGAATCCTGTTGATAGGGGTGAAAGACAGTGTTGTGAGTATGGTGGCTATATTGTGCCCTTCTCTTAACACTTCACTGAGCAAAATTTATTAATTTAAAAGTAAAATGTTTATACCCCACTTTTGCTTTGGCTTAGTCTTGGGGCCTTCCTCCAGTTCACTTTACCTTATTTACAGTCCATGAGCAGAATACAAATAAGAAAAAGAATGATCATAGCCTGGTAAAATATAAAAATTAAGGTATACATATATAAAAGTGTATAAAAGTAATTAATACTAATACAAATGCAGCAATTTCTAACCTAACTACATAAAAATATAAATATAGAAGAAGAAGAAGAAGAGATTGGATTTATAGCCCGCCCTTCACTACCCAAAGGAGTCTCAGAGCGGCTTACAAACTCCTTTCCCTTCCCCTCCCCACAACAGACACCCCGTGAGGTAGGTGGGGCTGAGAGAGCTCTTGACAGAAACTGCTCTTTTTCAAAAACAGCTCTTATCAGAACTATGGCTTGCTCAAAGTCATCCAGCCAGGTGCAAGTGGAGGAGTGGGGGAATCAAACCCAGTTCTCCCAGATGAGAGTCCACGCACTTAACCACTTCACCAAACTGGCTCTGTACACCAAACTGTAGAATACAGTCAGCTACTATCTTCCTCATTAAGTTGGGAAATATATATAGAACACAGTTCTATATAGAACTTTCCGGGTGATCTCTATACTCACATCAGAGAGAAGTATGTTAATGATCCCAGAGTCAGATGTGTCTGGACAGAGCTCAAGTAACGGGGAGATAAGGACAGTATGGATTTCATTGTAGAAAGAACAAGGAAAAAGGACATGTGCCATTGACTCTCTCTCACCACTGTTGCAAGGGCACAATCTCTCCGTCCGGGCAATTTTGTTATATCTGCCTTCAATAACTGAAGGTGGCAGATCATAGTTGTATATGTAGGTGGCTTGTTAAATTAGCATATAAAATAGTGAAAATGGTTTTTTAACTGATCAAAAGAATGACAAGCTGGGCTTCTGGTTATCATCTGTTTTGATTCAACTGGGGTGGTGGGACATAGGTAATAAATATGTTAGAACTACAGACTGATATGCCCTAATTTGTGAGAATCCCATTGATAGGGGTGAAAGACAGTGTTGTGAGTATGGTGGCTATATTGTGCCCTTCTCCTAAAACTTCACTGAGCAAAATTTATCAATTTAGAAAATAAAACGTTTATACCCCACTTTTCCTTTGGCTTAGTCTTGTGGCCTTCCTCCAGTTTAAAGAGCGTCCTTCCAACGTAAGTGGCTCTCTGTTTGGAAGAAGGGCCACATCAGTTGGAGGAACAGCAACTCAGCGGATGCCTGGGTCCACCCCACTCTTTATCCCCGTGGCATAAAAAGGCATTCTCTGCCAAAACCCTTCCCTGCATCAGCATTTCAGAAAAGTCCCCAGATGGGTTGCCAGAGAGCTATAAATCTGAAGCCTTATGGAAGATAAAATTGGCTGAGTAGAAACAAATCGCATATTCTACAAAGGTTTCTCAAGTAGTCACAGCCGTGCACAACCCCAGTACACTTATTGGGTCTCCATTGCCGTCCCAGACACCTACACATCCCACCGCCATTTTCTTTCTCTTTCATATTTATTTATATTTCTATCAACAATTGGGGTTCTCTTGTTTACTTTCTCATTTTCATTTACTATGCCACTAAATATGTCATTTAGTCATATGACAATTTATTTTTTGTGAGTATTTGTGTATGTGTATGTGTGCACGTGCGTGCCTCAAAGTCATGGTTGACTTCTGGTGACCCCTAGTGGGGCTTGGACATTTCAGAGAGGTGGTTTGCACTTGCCTGCCTCTGTGTCTCAGCCCTAGCATTCCTTGGAGGTCTCCCACCCAAGTACTTGCTAGGGTCGGCCTTCACCCCACCTGCCTCCTTCATCCATTGAGCTACTGGTCTCCAGGTATTGAGCTGAGTACACTTGCACAAACACAGACACCTGTCTCTTCTCCTACTGCTTTGCTGTATGATATTTAAAAAAAATGGTAATGCATCTTCAGCATCTGCGAGTGAGCCAACCTGTACACGAAGTGAACAAATAAAGAATGAACAATACCCCTAGGTTAAGTCGCATTTGGCCCTATTTTGTTATGGCAAAGATTACTGTTGGCACTACGCAACCATACTCTGAGAAAGCTTTCAATAATTTTGTTACAGCTTGGTTTCCACTAATGCAATTTCTGTCTGAACACGATATCATTCCAAATAATCCGATATACAAAGATATGATCTTTTTTCTAGTTATTTCCTGGCTTCCCAACTTTCTTTCCTTTGTTGAGGGCTGAATGTTTTGATGGTTTAACTGTAGTCAGATGAGCTAGCACGTTGTTTGGTGTTTTTTGTATGGAATTGACATGTATGGATTTAAATAAAATTAAAAAAAATAAACAATACCCCTAGAACCGCCTGTCTCCAACCTAACCAGACCCTAATCTTCTGTTCATGTATCTTCACCAATTGGGTGGGAGCGTGCTTGATCAGATGCTGTTGTGATGCCCCATTCTCCCCCCTTTTATTCATCCTCTTGACATGCCCCAAATCTTTGCCCATTCCAATTAATGGACAAATTAACTGTTTCAACATTTGGGGAGGGGGTTTGCATCAGCTGCATTTAAATGGAGAGTAAAAATTTTCTAAATTATGAGAAATGGTGCTAAATGATAGTTAAGGCCAATGTGGCAGACAAAATATGATGACAATGACGAGACACAAAATCAATATGGGCTGTATTTGACTTGTTTTATGTGCATGTACTTTAATGGAGGTACAAGTCAGCTATTATCCAGAGTGGCCCATAAAAGAACTGCTACCAGAGGGAAAGGTCTCTATCTCTTTTCATCCTCAGTCACAAGTTCTATGTCAGACCCACATGAAAACAGCTTCTTTATAGTTCATATGTGACTGAAAGAAGGACTCATGCAAATGTCCCAGAAGGCTGTTGGGGGCGGGGTGCCTGGGAGAGCTCGTCTTCAAAAGGAAGCTCCTCATCTTTACAATCCTCAGTTTCACCCCACTTCAGAGCTTCAAGCCCTCCAAGGAGCCAAGCCAATTGTTCATCTACATCATGGAAATTCTCCTTTTCTTCTTTTGCTTGGTGACCATCCCATATACTTAATATACTCATATACTTAATGAGAATTTTAGAGATCTAGGTTTGGTTAAATCCCTTGTTATACTACATTCTCAATTTATAGCAATGTTCTCTCTTTCCCAGGGGCCATTTCAGCCGTTCAACTGGTATCATCAGGTCCAGGAACATTGAGACCCGGAGAGAATCTCAGTCTGGTCTGTAAAGTGACAGGCGTCTCCATCACTGACAGCAGCTATGCTTGGCACTGGACCCGCCAGCCTCCTGGGAAAGGTCTGGAGTGGGTCGGAAGAATATACCTTTATGATGGGAGCAAGTACAACGCCTCTTCTCTCCAAAGTCGTGCCACCATCTCTGCAGACTCCTCCAAGAACCAGTTCTCCCTCCAGCTGACCCGCCTGACAGCTGCTGACTCTGCTGTGTATTATTGTGCCCGACAAGCACAGTGAAACAAAGTCCATTGGAGCTGCATCAAAAAGAGGAACACACGTTCCTACTTTCAGTTAGTGTTTACAAGCCTTAAGTGAACTGCTGGGGGGGGGGGAACAATTTCAAGATCTTGAAAATTCCAAAAACAAATGTCAAATTGAGCCAAGCATTTTCTCATAACCTGTTGCCACTTCCCCTTTAGTATTCATGTGCAAAATCAGTACATCAGATGCACAAAACTCTTAAGGTGTATACAGCCACAGTAGATACGAGTGGAGGGAGGAGGGAGTTGTGAATCTGGTTCTCTTTATCATAAACACTTCTTTGGAAGGGTTTTTAGCACCCTGGTGTTTATTAACAGCTAGGTGGAAGACACAGACGACGAAGTTTTACTTATACCAATTTACTCTGCTCTGGTTAGACCTCACCTAGAGTATAGTGTTCAGTTTGGGGCACCACAATTTAGGAAGGATATAGACAAGCTGGAACATGTCCAGAGGAGGGCAACAAAGATGGTGATGGGTCTGGAGACCAATTCCTATGAGGAAAGGCTGAAGGAGTTGGGTATGTTTAGCCTGGAGAGGAGATGACTGAGAGGTGATATGATAACCATCTTTGAGTACTTGAAGGGCTGTCATATAGAGGATGGTGCGGCATTGTTTTTTGTTGCCCCAGAAGGTCAGACCAGAACTAAAGGGGGAATTTATATCAAAGGTGTTTTGCTTAAACATTAGGAAGAACTTCCTGACCAGTTAGAGCAGTTCTTCGGCGGAACAGGCTTCCTCGTGAGGACTTCCTGGGGTTCACTGTCGACGCGTCCGGCCTCCACCCTGCCCGCGACAAGGTGAAGGCCATCGTGGAGGCACCCGCACCCAAATCAAAGCAGGAGCTACAGGCGTTCTTAGGGCTCCTGAACGCCTACCATGTGTTTTCCCCCCCATAAGGCAGCGGTAGCTGAGCCCCTCCACCGTCTCCTTGACAAACAGACCCCATGGCAGTGGGGGCCACGGGAGGCTGCGGCGTTCAAAGGGGTCAAGGCTCTGCTCGTCGCCAACCCTCAGCTGGCCCACTTTGATGAGAAGTTGCCGGTGGTCCTGCTCTGCGACGCATCCCCGTATGGGGTGGGTGCGGTGTTTTCGCACCACCTTCCAGATGGCCGCGAGGTGCCCATAGCGTACTACTTGCGGACCCTGTCTGCGGCGGAGAGGAACTACGGCCAGATAGACCGCGAGGGGTTGGCGATCATGGCAGGCGTGAAGAAATTCGACGACTTTGTCTACAGCCGCCACTTCACCATCATCATGGACCATAAGCCCCTGCTCTCTTTCATGGCCTGTCCCCTTCTCCTGCTGCAGATGAGGAATTAGTCTACAATGTCACACACCTGCATACCAGTTCTCCCTACCAGTAATAGCGCTAAAGCCAAACTGGCCTCCTTCCCCACAAATCCCCAACAGGAGAAACATTCACAGATGTTTGTGGTCAGAAACGGGCAAGTTTCCCTTCCGAATCGGGTATCTCATGAGGGCTGCTGTGGGTCTCACCAGCAGCGAAGTGACAACGATTCCCAAAGGTCCCTTCTTCCTCTCCTGAAAAAGTCGCCATGCATATATCTTGTGATATATTTTCACTGTTTTCAAGAGCAATTCTTTCAGAGTTCAGAAAAAGGCAGATGTGCTTCAAGTGTGCTTGGCCAACCCCGTATCTGAACTGGACCCGCTCTTGTCAGGGCAAGTAGCCACGATCCAGTGCTTCCCAGGCCATGCCCCTACAGACAGAAGTGAAAAAGATCATTCCTGCGTGTCCAGAGCTTTATGTGCATATAACAAATAGATGAGGAAAAATTGGGCTGCACCCAGCAATGTGCCAAGAGTATAATAGGTAGGAACAGGGGTCATTTCGTAGAAAAAGAGGTGCAGGCTCTCATTAGCATAACTCATTAGCATAACTTATTTGCATATGCCACACCCCCTGCAATTACCGGAAGTGTGGCAGAAGGTAGCACCCACCGCTCAGGCTCCACTCGACTGTTTTGGATTGCTAGCTATTGGGGGGGGGACATAGTAGATCTGTCCTCACAGAGGAGGGAGAGCTTGTACCTGAGTAAAATTTGGTCTTAAGGGTGCAACTGGACTGTTTTGGACCGGGGGGAGCTCTGCAACTTACCTGGCTGCTTCTTGCTCTGACTGAGGGCTGCTGAGAGCAGAGGGTGGGGCTTGTTGCATGTGCCCACCCCCTGGGCTCTTTACTGCCGGAGCTCCTCTCCTGTGCGCTCCTGCAGGAAATGACCCCTTGGTAGGAAAAATGCCAAATATTACGGGCTTTGTGTGATAACAAACAAGCCACCGACCTTCTGGCATTTTATACCTTTTTCTTTTACTGGTAGGGAACAAAAGGACCACAATGCTAGGCTCTTCTGCATTGTCATTTTTGTCACGCCTTTGTCCCTGTTGCTTCAAGGGTGCCCCCCCCCACAATGTGTTTTGCTCTCTCTAGTAATCCCAGAGGATGTGGGAAAGTGGTGGTGGGGGTGACCCCAAAGCAATAGGGACAGGCAAGTAGGAAAAAAAAAACAAATCCTAATTCTATTTTACAATGCAACACAAAGGAAGCTGTGTTTGCTTTACGATTGTGGTGAGGTGCTCTCAAGGGGAATGATTTTACCCATCTCCAAATAACAGATGCGGATCCAATTCTACAACAAGCAAGTGTAGAGAAATCAGGGGAAGGAATTAAAGGTGTGAAATAGGTCTCAAGGGTTTGTTTCTTATCTGGTCTCACAAAGAGTGACAAGAAAGGTGTTTTCAAGCTAAATGGCAGAAAGAGACCACCCATCACTCCTAAGAGGTCTTGAGAGACATAACTCATTTAAGTAAGCAAACGTTACATCCATTATTAACCGAGAGAGGGTCAGATTTGACAAGATGTCAGGAGACCCGTCTTCAGAGTTCTCACAGTGGGTTTGTAATGGTCAGAGTATCCGACTTGGATCTGGGAGACCCAAGTTCAAATAAGGGTTCCCACCCCACCTCCGCCTTGAGAAATCCCTTTAGCTAAACTGCTGGCTCATCTCATGGACTGTGGCCATGAGAATGACTCTGGCTGTTGACCTAATGCTTTCAATAAAGCAATTGGAAATGTTGGTTGTGCTTTCTCTATATGCTTTCTTTAAGTGCTTTTGTTAACATGGCCTTGATGCAACAAAAGGGAAATAAAAGGGACTCTTTCTCACTATGACCACTAGGAGGCAGCAATTTAGTTTCTGATCATGAATCACAAAGCAATGTGTGGTGCTTCTGTTAAGTCATGAACTTAACAAATAGTCGGAGAGTGATTTCAGCAAGAATGCGGCTTTATTCTTCAGAACGAACAGAACTCCAACACGTATCAACATCAGTCAGCCAGAACAGCTTTTACATTGCAGCTGCTCTGCTTTTTTTTGCATCGTTCACTTAGGGGGTTCTCACCAGATCCTTTGCATCCTGATTTAGGCGGGTGATGATCCTATATGATTCTGGGCATGTAGCATCTTTTCAAGTTTCAAAACGACAATCTAGTTGCATGCTATGTGTCTGGAATGGCCCTCGTCTGCTAATACACTCTTAAAGAATGTTGTCAAATGGGGTATCAGATTCTGTGCGAACTGTCTGTCAAACCCATCCATTCTAGGATCAATCTGACTGACCGGGGGATATTGAGCTGGGGAACTGGCGTACTCTGATCTTTGGTCCACATGCTGTCTTCCAAACCTAATTCACTTACTCTCCGCCAGCTAAAATGAGGGGAAAGCCACATTTATTTCCTTGTGGCCACTAGTCCTGCTGCCACAATTATCTAATTTCACTTGGACTCTTTTTGCATCATTAACTTAGGGGGTCCTCAGCTGATCTTGGCATCCTGATTTAGGCGGGTGATGATCCTATATGATTCTGGGCATGTGGCATCTTTACAAGTTTCAAAACTACAATCTAGTCGCTTGCTGTGTGTCTGGAATAACCACCGTCTGCTAGTACACTGTTAAATTATGTTGTCAAATGGGGTATCAGATTCTGT